TGCTTGGGTGCCCCCCCCCGGTTTTTGATCACTGCACCCCCCTGATGTTATTGTGACCATCCCTCCCCTAGTGCAACTAGAGGAGCTGGACAACAATCCTAGGTTGGTGATTGACCCCCCCCAAGTCCTTGATAGCCCCCTTATCTGCCCCCCCCCATTTTGGTGCCCTCCTCCCCTACCTGTGTAAGGGGACTGTTGCCCCCTTACTAACATTCAGTGGGGGTGTTTTAGTGGCCAGCTCCCAGTACTAAAAAGGGGGAAGGGTCAGTGGGGAATCAGGACCCTGAGACTGACAGCCCCCAGGAAGAATGGGGAGAGGCCAATGCTCCAGGTCAGCCTGAATGACGGGGCGGGCAGGCTAATCAGGGAGTCAGGAAGCCAGGGAGGTCCTGTCCTTACTGTGAGCTGGATTTGCCTGGGTCAGACAGAGTGGGGCCAGGCTAAGGAGAAAGCAGGGGCCCAAGCTGAGCTGGGGAGCAGAGCTGGGCCAGATCCAGAGAGAGCAGACCTGTCCTGGGAGCAGAGCTGCAGCAACCAGAGCCAGAGGGGCCAGAGAAGCAGCCCAGGGAGCTGGAGGCAGAGCAGCAGCCGTGCAGAGACCGAGTGATGGAACTGGGGCTGGAGCTGTCCGGAGCTGGGTGTGGTGAGCAGCTGGGGAGAGCGAGGGGGACCCTGGGCAGTGGGCCCAGCACAGGGAGACGCCTCAGCCAAGAGGCTCTGCAGGCCAGGCTTGGATCATAACCCCGACAGGGCGGAGGTGACACCGGGAAGAAGGGTCCTGCCACTTAGAGCCTGAGAGCCTGTGGCCACCACCAGAGTGAGTGTCCAACCCACAGCATCCCTGCAGCACGGCCAGGGCCTGAGCAGGAGGCCTGGGACTTACAAAGAACCGACTGTGAGCTGCCCTGACATTCCAGAGACACTGTTCATGATGTTCCCTGCCACAGAGTGGGGTGATGTGTTTCCTTTCACCTTTCCCATTTTTCCTTATTCTTTTTAAAATTAATTGTTGATTAAATAACTTGCATTTGCTTTAACTTGTATGTAATGGTCAGTGAGTCAGAGAAGTGCCCAGTGCAGAGAGAGTACCCCGGAGTGGGGACAGCCTAGCCTCTGTCCTAGGTGACCACAGCAGGGTTGGGGGTCGAGCCCCCCAGGAATCCTGGGCCCAGGCTTGTTGGGGTTACGAGGTCTCTGCCAGACAGGAGCGTGGAAGGGGACTCCTCAAGGGCAGGGAGGTCACTGGGTAAAGGAAGTGGGAGTGAGGACTCACATCCTTTCACTAGCCCACTTCACCAGGGTAGTGCAGAAGCCAGGAAAGTTCCCCACAATAGCGGGACTGTTCCCCCGCTTACACCCACAGCCTAGTGGGGAGGAGGGGTTCACCTGCTTCCCCTCTCACCCCTTTCTCCAGGGTTTTTCCCCTCCTTCCCCTCCCTCACAGCTCATCATGGTGGGAGACACAAAGGGTGGGATCCTTGATGTGGACTCTGCCCCCCCACCTGCCCTTCCCATGCCCCCCCAAGCCTGTACTTCAGCCGCTGCTGCCGAACCACTGCCTATCGCCCCTGCTGGGGTGCCGGCAGCAGCAGGCAATGGATTGACCTGTGCTGCTGTCACGTCTCTCGCCCCCTCTGATTCTGGGGGAGCTTGCCCAGCCGGTGGGAAGGGTTGGTGCAAAAAGAAAGGAAAGAGCCCCACTAAAAAGTCTAGGCCCTCCATAGCAGGGGCTGCCCCCACTGCTGCGACCCCACCATCATCCGTGGCATCCCTCCCCACTGCTTCCTCCACCAGCTCCACAGGAGCCCCCCTCCAGCCACCAGAGCATATGCCCAGATGGCGGCGGCCCCCCCACCAACTACTACATCATCTCTCCCAAACACCGCAGCTGTTACCATCCCTAGCAGCCGGGGCCCCTTCCCCACCTTGACCAGGAAGCATGGCGTCGGTTGCCTCCTAGTGCCTGCCTCACCCCACATGGATACCTACGTGCGGGCGTTGGCAATGGGGGTGGGGCCCACGGCCATTGTGGCAGCCTCCAAAACGTATGGCAAGGCTCATAGAATCATAGAATATCAGGGTTGGAAGGGACCTCAGGAGGTCTTCTAGTCCAACCCCCTGCTCAAAAGCAGGACCAATCCCCAATTAAATCATCCCAGCCAGGGCTTTGTCAAGCCTGACCTTAAAAACTTCTAAGGAAGGAGATTCCACCACCTCCCTAGGTAACGCATTCCAGTGTTTCACCACCCTCTTAGTGAAAAAGTTTTTCCTAATATCCAACCTAAACCTCCCCCACTGCAACTTGAGACCATTACTCCTTGTCCTGTCCTCTTCCACCACTGAGAATAGTCTAGAACCATCCTCTCTGGAACTACCTGTCAGGTAGTTGAAAGCAGCTATCAAATCCCCCCTCATTCTTCTCTTCTGCAGGCTAAACAATCCCAGCTCCCTCAGCCTCTCCTCATAACTCATGTGTTCCAGACCCCTAATCATTTTTGTTGCCCTTCGCTGGACTCTCTCCAATTTATCCACATCCTTCTTGAAGTGTGGGGCCCAAAACTGGACACAGTACTCCAGATGAGGCCTCACCAATGTCGAATAGAGGGGAATGATCACGTCCCTCGATCTGCTCGCTATGCCCCTACTTATACATCCCAAAATGCCATTGGCCTTCTTGGCAACAAGGGCACACTGTTGACTCATATCCAGCTTCTCGTCCACTGTCACCCCTAGGTCCTTTTCTGCAGAACTGCTGCCTAGCCATTCGGTCCCTAGTCTGTAGCTGTGCATTGGGTTCTTCCGTCCTAAGTGCAGGACCCTGCACTTATCCTTATTGAACCTCATCAGATTTCTTTTGGCCCAATCCTCCAATTTGTCTAGGTCCTTCTGTATCCTATCCCTCCCCTCCAGTGTATCTACCACTCCTCCCAGTTTAGTATCATCCGCAAATTTGCTGAGAGTGGAATCCACACCATCCTCCAGATCATTAATGAAGATATTGAACAAAACCGGCCCCAGGACCGACCCTTGGGGCACTCCACTTGACACCGGCTGCCAACTAGACATATCCGGGCAGAGTTCCTCTGGGTGGTGTCCACTGGCTCCCTTGACGCCTTTGAGGAGCAGTGGGTGCTGTCTGGTGTTCTCTGCTCAGTGTCCCATCAGGATCCCTTCTTTTGACCCTTTGACCACACTCCTGTCCCTGTTATTTCATTAGTTGTCCAATGGAATCATTTGGTTTCCAGGTTCTGTAGATCCTTCCCTCAGGCTGTGGGGTGGGGGTGGGGTCCTTATGCAGTGGACGGGCTCCCGCCTGCCCACTTCCCAGAACCCAATAGGTACAATATGATACCAGTCTCTGGGAAGCAATCTTGTGCAGTGATGTTACGTTCACCTTACGCAGAAAGTGTGCTCCCCAAAGTTACGCATTTCAGATTGTATCATTTCTATGAAGAATTCACAAGTTACACATCTCTTTACCCATCACTAAAATCCAACCCATCTGTTTGTCCTAGTTCCCTAATGTAAGTGGGGAAGTACTGTGGGGAACTTTCCTGGCTTTTGCATTACCCCAGGGGAATTCGCTGAGGAAAGGCTATGAGTCAAAACTCACACTCCCTTTTCCCCCAGGCCTGCCTGACATCAGGAACTCCCCTTCCATTCTCTATGTGGCAGAATCCTCATAATGGTGACATGGCTCTGCCCAGGATTCCTGAGAGGCTGAACCCAAAGTTTCATCATGGTCACTTAGGATAGGAGCTAGAGTGTCCCCACTAGAGGGTACTCCCTTCACATTGGATGATTCCTTGACCCCCTGATCACTAAATTAAGTTCAATCCAAATATAATTCATTAAACAGCAAGTGTAAGAATAATAAACCAAAAAAGGGAAAGGTTCACGGAAACAAGAAACCCTGCTCTGTGCACATGGGGATAGCACAAAGAGCCCTCCCTAGGATGCAAAGAGAGTTCATAGTCTGTTCCACTCCAAAATTGACTCCAAAAGCAACTGCAAAAGCAGTACATTATTTTTACTTAAAGGTGATGTCGTAGTTAAATACAGCAGTCCAGTTCTCAAAAACACACCATTTCCTAACTCTCACCCGTAAGCTCTGGTACAATGCCCTCAATTCCTATAGCAGCTTTCCTGTATTTGGACTTTCCCACTGAAACATTAGCATTATCCTCCAGGATTTGTGATGGATTCAACATAGAAAAATCAGGTATATTTTGCTCAGCGAAACAATGTCCATATGATAAAGAACTTCAGCATTGCCTTTTCTTTCTTTTTCTCTTTGGCTATCTGAAAGTGTAACTTTTGTTTGTAAAACTGGACAAGAACAATTACCACAGAGGGACTAATGGAAAACTACTTTGCATCAAAATGCTACAGTGTCTTATGGTAGTCTTAGGGCAGGTCTACACTACATCTGGGATCAATGATCTGAGATCAATTCACTGGCGGTCGATTTAGGAGGTCTAGTGAAAACCCGCCAACTCGACAGCAGATCACTCTGCAATTGGCCCCCAAGAAAAAGAGTAACATAAGTCAATGGGAGATTTTCTCCATCGACAGCCCCCTCTCCGCCTCACCACAATGTAGAACCCGCTGTAACTTGACCTAAGGTACATCGACTTCAGCTGCCTTATTCATGTAGCTGGAGTTGCATAGAGTAGGTTGACACGATGAGAGTAGGTTGACACCACGGTAGTGTAGACATAGCTTAGAGTCATGGAAAGGCTAAGTAACAGGGTGTGTGGGGAGGGAGGCTGATGGGGTGACAATAAAGAGGTCAAGTGATGGTCAGAGAGAGGTAACTCAGCAGTGGAAAGAGCAGTGCTTAGTGATGGAGTGATGAGATGTTGGTTGGGAGGAAATTCTCAGACTGTGAACTTCCACAATCCTTAGCTCAACCAAACTGGGACAGTGCACCCCTGATTAATGAGGAGATATGCTTTCCTCCTCTTGTCACACAGGTTTCAAGTCAGTGGCCCCAGGTAATCACCTTCGGCAGGTGTATTTGCCTACTTTGTCACGAAGCTCTTTGGTTTTGACCCCATAAATGATAGGATTGAGCATGGGAGGGATGAGGAGATAGAGGTCAGCCAAAATGATGTGAACATAGGGAGCGATGCCTTGACCGAAGTGGTGTGTGAGAATGGAGAAGAGTCCAGGAATATAATATGTCAGCATCACAGAGATGTGGGTTGTGCAAGTGTTGAGGGCTTTCTGGTGGCCTTTCTTAGAGGAGATTCTGAGGACGGCCCTGATGATCAGACTGTAGGACAGGGCAATGAGCGTCAGGTCAAACCCATTGATTACAAACATTAGCACCAAGCTGTATATCTTGATGACTGTGATGTCCCCACACACCATCTTCACCACAGCTATGTACTCGCATTGCGTGTGCAGGATAATGCGGTTGGCACAGAATGGCTGCTGACTCAGGAGCAGGGGTAGGGGAAGAATGAAGAGAACAGCTCTTATCAAACCTACAAGCCCTAGCTTAGCTATTTGTGCATTACTGAGGATGGTGGCATATCTCAGAGGGTTACATATGGCAACGTAGCGATCAAAGGCCATTGTCATGAGGGTGGCTGAGTGCATGACAGAAACCGTGTGGAGGAAGAACATCTGGGAGAGGCAGCCAGCCACAGTAATGCCTTTCAAGTTGAACCAAAATATGCCCAGTGCCTTTGGTACGACGAAGGTAGGTGTGGCAATGTCTGTAAGTGCCAGTATGCAGAGCAGCAGGTACATCGGCTTCTGCAGAGTCTGCTCCTTACCTACAACAGACAGAAGCGTGAAATTTCCCAACAGGCTGAGAATGTAGAATGTAAAGAAAGGGATGGAAATCCAGATGTGGGCAGCCTCCAGTCCAGGGATGCCCGTTAGGATGAAAGTTGAAGCATCAGAGTTGGTGAAGTTGAAAGCTGCCATGTGGCGGTTGATGCATCTATACGACTCAGAAATGTTGAAGGTGCCTGTAAAGGGAGAGAAGCACAGCAAGGGGGTTACGTGCTTTATAACAAATAATATGGTAAATAAGTTGTAGTTATGAACATTCTCGGAGTCTTCTTGAGTGAGGAGTGAAGTACCACCGACAATGTCACTCCCTGCTTTCTATAGCTTTAGCATATGGCGGGAACCGTTTGTTTCAAAACTTGGTTTCCAGACTAGTTCGTGGGAAAATTACAGACTCCCCAAGATGGAGTCCAGAGTTATGTGGCCTGGTCACATAGCCTTCTAGATTCATAGCATCCATTATGTATAGGCTGTCTGAAGCATTCTCAGGGAGGCTCACCAGATGGGAGATAACTTTCTCTGAAGGCCTATTGTTTCTGCCAATGTCTCATTGCCCTGAATAGGCCCTTCCCAACCAGCGATCTAGACTGAAACCAAGTTCCCTAGTGGGCGTTACCCAGTTGTAATTACATGTGAAATGCAGAGAAGTAGTCAATATTCAGAACTTCTGACAAAAATCATAAATGCATACAAAAAGGATAATCATATTCAGAAAGTCATAACTTTTCCAATGACATCTTACATAACCCATCTTGCAATGGGGTACATTGTCACAAAAATATCAATGGTTATTTCTACCAGTGAAATGCCTGAAGTTACATAACAACAACAATTGGAAACAAAACTGAGTAAAGTTTGTGATACCCAGATTGTAGTTTTGTGACTTGCCAGGGGAAAGAGACCCTAAAACTCCCCAAATGCACTCTGTACCAAGAAAGGTCCCAAAGTTGGCCTTGGACCAACAATCACAAAGAAAAAAATAATTTCAGCAACACTGTCCACCTGTCCACCTACATGATGCTCTGCGACCCTATGACGTTGTCCTCTGGTGTTATTTAGACTGGTGATCTGTTAGGTCACCCCAGTCCTTGACTCTGGGAGCCAGCCTTCCCCTGCTCAGCTATGAGAACCCCCACTCCTGGGCTCTTCACTCACAGGCTCTGGCATGTAAGCTGCTCCTTGGATTGTGCAACCGAAAGACACTAGCCAATATCTCCAGTCCAAGACACAACACAAGAAACCTCCCTCTTGCAGTGTCCAGGTATGCCCGCAGGACACTGCAAGTTAATATGAGTTTGTCAGTTTAAGAAAGAAATTGAGATGCACCAGGCTTTTTATCCCAAGGGGAGTCTCTTACACGCTTCAAACCAAACACACTGTTTCAGGTAGAATAAACAACAAATGTATTAACTACAAAGATAGATTTTAAGAGATATTAAGTGATGGCAAAAAGTCAGAGTGGTTACCAAAACAAACAAACAAAAAAATGTAAGCACACTGTCAAAATATAAAGGGAAGGGTAACCACCTCTCTGTATACAGAACTATAAAATCCCTCCTGGCCAGAGGCAAAACCCTTTCACCTGTAAAGGGTTAAGAAACTAAGATAACCTCACTGGCACCTGACCAAAATGACCAATGAGGAGAGAAGATACTTTCAAAGCTGGAGTGAGGATTGGGGGAACAAAGAGTCTGTCTGTCTATGTGATGCTTTTGTCAAGAGCAGAACAGGAAAAGAGTATTAGAACTTGTTAGTAAGTAATCTAGCTAGAAATGCATTAGATTTCCTTTTGTTTAAATGGCTCGTAAGTAAGCTGTGCTGAATGGAATGTATATTCCTGTTTTTGTGTCTTTTTGTAACTTAAGATTTTGCCTAGAGGGATTCTCTATGTTTTGAATCTGATTACCCTGTAAGGTATTTACCATCCTGATTTTACAGAGGTGATTCTTTTACTTTTTCTTTAATTAAAATTCTTCTTTTAAGATCCTGATTGCTTTTTCATTGTTCTTAAGATCCAAGGGTTTGTGTCTGTGTTCATCTATGCAAGTTGGTGAGGATTTTTATCAAGCCTTCCCCAGGAAAGGGGGTGTAGGACTTGGGGGGATATTTTGGGGCGTAGACGTCTCCAAGTCTCATGCACGTGAATCATTTTATTGGAGCTCCCTTGCTGGACAATGGCTGTTGATGGGTTGTTTGACACCCTGCCCCGCTATTAGTCACTTTCCTTGCTGTTGCCTCTTGGGAGCTAATATCTGGCTGATTCCCCAACTCACAGCATGTTTTAGTGACCACCATACAACACCATTCTCATAACTCCATATACATTAATGATACACATGTATGGACAGAGACATGACTTTCAGCAGATCATAACCTTTCCCCTGAGACCTTACAAGGCATGCTTCATAAGTAAAATCATGTTTATATGAAAATGAGGTTTATGGCGGTTACAGTATGCTCCCTGATGATAGAGAATGTCTCACCTCCCCCCTTAGTTTGTTACAAGAGGGTTAGCCACCGACTACCTCAAAGGCAGGGTGTGTTATAGTTCTCTTGGCACCCAGCTTTCAAGGCCATGAGGAGGTGTGCCTCAGTTTCCCCATTCAGACACTGCAAACCAGGTTTCTCTGCTGTGATGAGATTTAAATCTGTTTACAGCTATTAACTATGAACTAGACTTATCATAAGGTTTAACATCAGTCATAAAATTCTTATCCCAAAACTTTATGTTCATACATTTTTTTTATCACAGATGGGTGTTTACAAGTATCTTTATGCTACCACACCCTCTGTTCAGATACTGTAGTGTGAGGTTACTTTGTTCATTACCCATGGTGTCCTTTGACTCTCTCCCAGGTAATCAGTCAATGGCTTGTCTTTCCCTCCAGTGTTCCCATCTCTGTGGGCTCTGAATTTAAGAATGTTTCTGGAATTTTGGTGCCTCAGGTTCTAGCAAGATATTTTTTTCAGGGGGACCCTGCACATTGGCTGGCCCTTTGCCCCCTTTTCCTAGAGGACAGTGATCTGAGCTCTGTGGGCTAGGTGTGTTTATCCTTTGATCAGACGCCAGCAGCTTTCCCACGACTGCTTTCTGTGTCTCACCAGCATGGGGGAAGACACCCCCTTCTATGTCAGTTGGACCATTTGTATTCTCACAAACTACCACCTGGCAACTTCCTGGTATCAATTCCTCCATTATCAGAGGTGTTGGAGCTGCATCTAGATGTAAAGAGACACAGATACTTTCCAAAAAGAGTATCAAAAATAGCGTCCTGAAAAACTGGGACCTGGATTGGGGTACCCTCCGCCTCCCCTTCCTCTGTCCCTGAGAAGTCAGCTGTGGGACTGCTCCCATCCAGGACAGAATTTACATAGTTCCTTCTCAAAACCTGGGTCACTGGCTGTCAAGGTTCCCTCCCCACTCTGAGCTCTGGGGTACAGATGTGGGGTCCCACATGAAACACCCTCTAAGTGTATTTCTACCAGCATAGGTGAAAAATTCCCAAGACACAAATCATTTCCTTGTCCTTGGACAGAATTGCTGCCACCACCAAGTGATTTAAAGAAAAATCCAGGAAAAAGGGCCACTTGGAGTCCTTGTTGCCCCAGAATATTCCCCGGAATCCCCTTCACCCCTTTTCCTGGGGAGGCTTGAGAATAATATACTAACCAATTGGTTACAAAGTGAGCACAGACAAAACCCCTGGCTTTTTAGCACCCTGAAAATCAATCAGGTTCTTAAAAGGAGAACTTTTTTCTTTTAAAAAAGCAAAAGAATCACACCTGGAAAATCAGGATGGAAGGTAACTTTACAGAGTAAATAAAAAGGTAAAACACAGAGAATTCCCGTCTGGGCTCAGCTTCAAAGTTACGAAAAACAAGAATAAAACTCCCTCTAAGAATATGGAAAATTCACAAGCTAAAACAAAAGAAAACAAAGGCATTTCCCTGCCTTTACTTACAATTTCTGTAATTGTAGATGTATCATTTCAGGAGATTGTTTACTAGTTTGATCTCTCTCTCTCTCTGTCCAGAGAGGGAACACACAGAGAGAGCACAAACAAAAGCTCTTCCCCCCTCCCACCCCAGATTTGAAAGTATCTTCTTTCCTTTTTGGTCTTGTTGACCAGGTGCCAACCAGGTTATTGGAGGTTCTTAACCCCTTACAGGTAAAGGGACTCTGTACCTCTGGACAGGAGGGATTTTATGTTACCGCATACATCAAGGTTGTTACCCTTCCCTTTATATTTATGACACAGTCTGTGTACCTGGGTTCCCAGATGCTGATGCAGCCTTCCTTCTAGTGTCCTCGGCATCATGTCCCAAGTGACGAGTGGGGAGACATTCCTCTACCCCCACTATTCCTTCCCCAGTTTCCTCCTCTGGGCCCCCTCCTAAGACACATTTCTGTGTGCTCCATAGGAAGTGATCTTTCTTTTGTTCAGCTGCAAAACTCTGCCAGTTAACAGCTGAGACAGTTTCCTTACTCACTGACAACATCTCCCCTGCCTCTGTGCCTGAGGGCATGTTGCCTAGTCTCAGTCCCCTCCCCTACTTGGAAGCACCCTGCTTCCCTGTGTTACAGAGTGACAGGAATCCTCATTCACCTCAGTGGTTTCTGAGATTCCCTGCCCCTTCTCTAGGCTCTCCTCTGGGACACATTTCTCCATGCTCCCTAGAGTTTGTCTCTGGTTCAGCTGTGACCTGCTGGAAGCTAACAACCTGGACAGTTCTCTCCCTGGCAGGTATTACACCCCATCCCTTCCTGATGTGATGTTTCCTCCAGCTTGAGTGCAGGAGTTGTTCTAAACCACCCTCCCGCCTGGAAGCATGTGGCTTCCCCCTGCTGAAGAAAAATCAAGGAGACTCTCTCCAATTCTCTCAGCAGTTCCTGAGACCTTACCCTTTCCCTCAGGGGTCCCAGCATAAAACTCCCTTCTGCAGCAGGTAAATGCTTTAAGCTGAGCTACACAAAAAAAAACATGACCAAGGAGCAGGTCGACTAAGAGGTGTTCCAATCTCCACAATCCAAACACTTTCCAGACCTTCCCACACTGCAAGGATTTTACCTAGTGGTATGAGGAATCTGCTTTCACCCACCCTCACAATCTCAGCCATTTGGCCAGGTAGCATACTGGCCTTTGGGAACACACTCTGCTTCATCTGAGAAATCGGGGCC